GCAGCTTAATAAGACTTGTTCTAAATAAATGCTGATGTTTGGATGTTTTATAATGACCCAGCTGAAGCGTCAGTCATTTATTCAAGTTGTCCTTCAGATACAAGTGCTGCTGTGGTTTTGATCTGCGTAAAGATCCTGTATGTTTTGTGTAAATTCATGATCACTTATTCTGATCCTATTTTCCCACCAGTTTCAGCTCGAACAGTTTCAGACACACAACTCCCACTGCTGTGGAAATAATAAATCACATGACTCTACAGCCATGAGTGTTGATTTTCTGTATAATGGATCCTCCTATAGGACTGTTGACCCAAATCGATGGTTAAAGTTGTTGCGTTGTGCTCCCTGACTCAGATTCAGTCTCCATTAGGAGGATTGTCATTGACCTCCACTGACCTCACCTCAGTTTGTTCGTTTGTGAGAGATGCCATCAAGTAACTTTTTTTCATTAAACCATTGATCCTCGAGGACTCATTTACAAGAGAGACCTGTTTCAGACAGACAAAAGTAGATAAGGAAAAGAGAAACACGAGGGGAGGGGAGGTAAAAAAAAAAAACGTATCTTGCACTATGTCCTGGCTGGGACACAGTGTGAAAGTTGCAAAAAAAAAAAGACCTTGTACATAAACAGCAACATACTAATGACATCATGATACATTTATGCATGAGGAGGCCGACAAAGGCGGTGAGTCGTCTGTGAACGCAGCCAGAAAGTTCCATAGTCCTGATAAGAGATGGTGCAGTGTCTATCAGCCGGCTCAGCTCTGATACAGGTCCACAGATGTCCTAAGGTGGGGGGCGCAAAGCAGAGCTTCTTGGCAGGGCCGGCCCAAGGCATAAGCAAATTGACTCAACCACAGACACCGAACTACCAAAGCCCTCTGTGTGGAGCAGAGAGCTGCTATCTAGGACACTCGGAGGAGCAGATGGTGGGGGTTAAGGGCCTTGCTCAAGGGCCCAGAGTGGGACGAATGAGGGTGAGGGCAGGTTTCACCTACCCCACCCACATTTTTGATGTTGTCGGTAGCGGGGCTTGAACCGGCGATCTTCCGATCACAGGCCCACCTTCTCTAACCTCTGCACCACCACTTTCCTCCCGTGACTCGATGAGACTAACCTGTATAAATAAAGGTTGGATGAATGAAACGAGTCAGGTTTAAAAGATGATCCCGATAAGCACAAACAATGGATTAAAACTGACGTTTTTCAATAAACTTTTTAATTTTTTTTTAATGTATTCATTTCATTAAAAACAATATAACTATATACAATAGAAAACAAAAAAATATGTATACAATCAAAAATAAAATGAAAGGCAGCAGAAGAAGAATAAATCTTATGATATATGCCCCTTTTTGCACAGAATATATTCAAACAAAAGTAATTTACAAAAAAAAAAAACTAAGCTAAATAAAAACAACATCAATTCAAACAAAATTTGTATAGATACACATTATACTTTTCCATATTCCTTCAGAAAACTAACTTTTAACATTTTCTTGAATATGTACATAGATCTGGCAGTTTTAACATCATCCTTCAGACCATTCCACAATCCTATTCCCTGAATTATACTAGACCGCTCCCTCAAACTGGTACGAAACCAAGGCTTCACAAACATCTCTATTCTCTTAAGATAATAATCATTCTCCCTTTTAACAAAATTTACTTGGATATTAGAAGGCAGTATGTTTTTGTGAGCCTTATACATAAACAGTAAAATATTATAATCAACTAAATATATATTCAGTTGATAAAACAATATATTTGATGGATGGCTACAATCTTCTCTAGTGATAATTCTTACAGCTCTTTTCTGTAAAATAAAAATAGGACTTTAAGCGTGTTCCCAGCAGCTTACAAGAGTTGATTGTCCAATTAGAACAGGAAGTGCAACCAAGAATTTATCATTTAACTGAATTGCTAATCGTGATTTTAGCTTTGGGGGATTTGCTGCTCATATTCAGGACTGAACAGAGCAGAGGTTTGATTTCAATGCGATCCCTCAACGTTCAGATTATGTACAAGTCATGTTTTCATGAAAGGTCATGCATTTTTGAACACCTACACCCTGCGTTGTATTTATGTCTCAACTCAGTTAAACACCTGCAGTGATGAGTGGCTAAGTATTTATTGAGACAACGTACAAATGTGACTGAGGTCATGCGCTATTTATGGACAGTGGGAGTTCCTTTTCAAACCTTTTTGTCCCTTTTATTGATCTGAGTCATCAAAGATGGAGTTTCTGAGAATGCCAAGCCTCAGCATGAAACCTGTGTTTTCATACAACACAGCTGCAAACCATCACATCAGGACAACTTAGAGCAGTGTCTCTGTACAGTTTATTAATAATAAATGCACCATTATCATTATTATCACTTCTAGGCTGGACTGTTGTAACTCCACATGTGATGAGAATGACAATAAAACTGACTTGAACTTGAGCTCATATCTCTCCAGTTTTAGCTTCTCTTCATTGGCTCCCTGTCAAATTCAGAATATAATTTAAACTCTTACATCTAACATACAACGCTACCAACAGCTAAGCTTAATGATCTTGCTGTTCCATATTTTCCTAATAGAGCACTTTACTTTCAGGCTACAGGTTTACTTGTGGTTCCTAGAGTTTCTAAAACTAGAATGGAAGGCAGCGCTTCCAGCTATCAAATTGTAAATAGACTGTACTTATATAGCACCTTTCTATTCAACCAGGTTACTCAGAGTGCTTTACAACTAATCATTTTAAAGAGACTAATCAGTTCTTTAGATCACATTCATACACCGATGGGACACACATCAGAGGCAGTGAGAGGTTCAGTGTCTTGCTAAGGGACATTTTAACACGTGACTATACAATGGTGGAATCAAACCCCCAACTCTCTCATTGGAGTACGACTGTCCTAACCACTGAGCCACAGCTCCTCTATCAGGCTCCTCTATTGTTAAACCATCTTCCAGTTTCTGTCCGTGAGGCTGACACTCGGCCTACTTTTAAGCGACTTAAGATATTCCTTTTTGGTAAATCCTATAGTTGGGGTTGGGTTTCCGGTGCTATCCCTAGTTATTTGTAGGCTCACACTCTCACATTCCCTAACTCTGCTGCTGTCTTTACTCACGCTACGCTCCATGTTTGTAACTTCTGTTTTGCCTTGCTATAGAAACTGCACCTGGACCAGTAATTTATGTTTGTCTGTGTCACTTTCATGTCCTCTTTAACCCCAAGCAGATAATTACTTGTCCCGAGCCTTGTTCTGGACTTAATGGAGGTTTCTTTCTGTTAAAATGGAGTTGCTCTGTCCCACAATCACCTCATGTTGTTCTGAATGTTGCGACAAAGAGAAGATTAAACACAATCTAATGGCTTTCTTTGACAGATAACTTTAGCAATGTGACATTTTGTAATGTAGGTGAATGCTTTTGTACAGTGCCTGAGATGACTTTGTTAAGAATTATTGCTATGTAAATAAACTGAAATGAATTGAAGGAACTCTTCCAATTGGAGGATCAGGGATTCAAACCACCTGCAGCATATAAAAGCATATTTGGGCAAGAAACTGAATAAGGTCGGAGCAAATAAAGAGTGTAAAATATATAACTAAAAACGTTGCTGTCGTCATTATAAAAACTTTTTTTCTTCTTAATAACAAATGTTTTCTTTACAAACAGTTTGTAAAGCTTCACAAAAACAAAAATCATTACAGAAAACTAGCATAAGAAAAAAAGCATGGTTTTATTAAGTATTTTCAATATAAACAGGCTATAATGTCCGCTAAACAATTAGTATAATGTAGTAGAAATAAAAGTGGGACATCTTAAATAAATTATTTAAATGAAAACCTTAAAGTAAGCACATAATATGTTTGCTGAAACATCCAGTGGTACTGTTATCGATATAGACATTTAATGCAGCATCTAGTTCCGTGATGTCAGTGAACGTCGCATTTGAGTTTGTCACGAGGCACCACGCTAATGTTCTTTCCCGTCTTTTAAACCGCTTTTTACTGACATATTGGTGAGCTGAAAATATTTTAATTATGTGATGAAAACATTGCCTGTGTATATTATTAATAATTATCGATAACATAATGAAAAGAGCGACTATTTAGAAAAAGGTTTAATGGCGTCAGTATGCTAATAGCTTTTTTGCTAGCTTCTTCGCGCATTGGTCACGTGATGTGGCTCAATGGCGGGACTTTGCTCCCCCAGATGTCACAGATTCAACCTTTATTAACACAGGTTAGTCTCATTGAGCCTTAAGGACTCATTTACAAGAGAGACCTGTTTTAACAAATAATGACAAGACAATCATAAGAGAAAGCATACAAATTGAGAAGAACAATTGAGAGAAAATTGTATTAAAAGAAGCAAAAACAGCTTTATAATAGTGATGTAAAACACTAAAAACAGGAACATGTCTGCATTGGTTTTTGCCAGGAACTTAGCAGATGTTTCAAGTCACTTAGGGAGGTCAAGGTCGAGCGTTTCAGATCTTTTTGTAAGATATTCCAGGAAACAGGAGCGGAGTGTAGTTCGTTCTGCACTGAAGGAACACTGCATGTAATAATGTCCTGAGAGCGCAAGCTGTAGCCGCACTCACGCAGTGACGTGCAGGAGGAGATGTATGATGGTAACAGACCAAGAAGTGATTTAAAAATGAGTTGTTCGATACCAGGATTTCCGTTCCGATACTGATATTGAGTAAAATTCTGACTAGTATCGGCAATACCAGTACAAGTACTTTGTGCAAATATACCTAATGTGTCTGGTAAAAAAAAAAAAAAAAAAGGCAGTGTACAGTATTGCAAATCAAATCTGCATAAAGAATACAAGACCTCAAAGTAATTTATTTATTATAAACTCAGGAGGATGAGGTAGTGGTCTCGTATACAATATGGTTGAGCTTATGCAACAACAGAAAACAACAGAGGACACAATCATACAAAACAAGTGACATTTCTGGAGATTCTTATGACCAAACTTTGGAACTGTTATTATCTAAGGTACAGAAAATGTCTCAAATATTGTTTCCTCAAACCTGTTTATCCTTCTTTTTTTCTAGGTGGGCTGTTCATCAGAAACACCGACCAGGAGTACACGGCCTTTCGACTGGCGATATTCCTGCACAACACAAGCCCGAATGCGTCGGAAGCTCCGTTCAACCTGGTGCCTCATGTAGACAACATAGAAACAGCCAACAGCTTTGCTGTCACCAACGCCTGTAAGTTGAGCTCAAACAGCTTCATGCTGTGGGTTTTTCATTACAGCAAGAATTCAGGTTTTTGTGCAGCAAAGTGCGCATCCCCATTGAAGCTACCAGTAATATTAGGAGTTTAAACAATGGCTTCTAATACATGACAGTTATATCAGTAATTCTCTGTTCAGCACGCTGTAGAAGTGCTTTAATATTGTGTGATAAGAAGTTGCCATTTTAGAAGTACTGCCTTTAAGTACAGTATGTGATAATAAAAAAAGGTTTGGGTTTGCTTATCAGACTTTGAACTGTTAGCTCCTGCCCCCAGATCTGTACTAAAATGCTAAATGGTCTGAAGTAATAGTCTCTGGTTCTGTGGGTCAAGAGTTACTCACGGGTGAGGATAATGAAAGATTTGTTTGTAAATGCAAAAAGAAGCCACGGGAGTGTTTGTAGATTGTTTGGAAAATTTACAAGGTGTAAGCTATCAGACTTGTACCCTGGAGGGTATTCAAGTCACATGTAGTATTAATATTGTTTCAAAACTTTATTTATTTATTTATTTTAGCTGTACTCTTTGATTGTCAGATAACTTGTGGTTTGAGTTCATGCAGAACTTTAAGGGGTTGCCTTTGCGGTTTAACCTTATTTGTTCAAACTTTGTCTAAAGGTTATTATTTTTTCGAGAGTTTTTTTTTAATGGTGTTTAAGTTTTGTATTTAAAGTCAGAAGGATAAACAGCATCTGGCAGTAGTGGTGGAAAATTCTCAACAATTGAGTTTGTTACCAATCTGTGCTGTCACTTGAGGAGAGTCAGCGGAGTAGCTGCTACATGGTGTTGTTTGTCCCAGTAGGGCTACCGTATCTTCATGTAGTAGAAACCTGCTGCAGTAAAACTGAGTTTGCACTTATTTTTTAAATCTTTTATTTGTTGAACCATGAAAAATGGGTCTAGACGTAACAGAGGAAGCTCTCATGACATGCTTTTCTTTAATAATGACTTTAAAATGTTTGACATTTCCAGTGGTAAACACAATGCTAAATACTTTAGCTTTTTTGCTACATTTTCAGGTTATGCTAATGGTTTGTCAACAGGTTATTGTGCACTGTTAGACATGAAAATATTCAAATCAGTGTTTCTTGTGTAATATATAAAATAGCCCACAGTCATTTAATTTTTAAGATAATCCTAATGCATTGATAATTGCTTTATTATTGCACCGCAGCCCTTCCAATCAAAATGTGTGTAGATTCTCACTCATACAAATCATGACTCATCCAAATTGTAAAGAACCTGCAGGTTCACAACATCTAGTGAAGCTTAAAGAAAAAAATGATATTCAAACACACTCGCAGACCAACTTAGTTTAAAGAAATAGTTGAATTTAGCACAGCTGTCTGCACCAGAAACGTTTGATTGTTAGCAGATGTTCTGGCACGACTGACTTTGGTCTCAGATTTACATCAACATGATTTCATAATTTGTAAAACTGGAATACACCAGAGTTTTAAAAGCCTAAAGATGGCTCACATCTGATCTGAGCCAAGCCGCAGACGCCAGCGGGGACAGAAGCTGCGCAAACAGCCCAGCACACTGCCGCTGCTCGGACCTGCTAACCCTCGTAGGCAGCGACGTTCGGTGATGATCCCTGCGGAAACGGCTGCTTTCCCTCGTTTCTCAGTCTCCTTTCAGTCTGTGTGTGTTTGTGTCTGCAAGAGGGGGGCCGAGCTGGGGTTCCAGCAAAGACCATAAACCTCTTCAGTCTGACGCCTTCCACTATCTGAGCTGTGACCTGGCGTTTTAAAAAGATAAATGGGTAAATTAAACGGAGAATAAAGTGGCTTTACGCTGTGATGTAGAGGGGCGACTGTAGCTCAGCGGGAAACGAACCCCGTTTAGCCTCAGCTGCGTTTATCGACTTGTGCTTGTACGTTTGGCGGAGGAAGAAGGCAACAGTAAGACTGCACAGACGAATAAGCTCGGTAATGAACGAGTGAACGTGGCCACATAAAGGCAGTCTATTTACCGTTTAGCTTGTCAGCGCAATGACTGGAAAAGTGTTTTGAGGAGCCTTAATGCGCCGTCTCTTACGTTTTAATTTCACGTTATCTCTTGGAGCTCATATTTCCTGTAAATCACACCGGGGATTCTCCTAATTTAGTTTTGGTGTGTTAGAGTCATCAGAGAGTTTGAGATTAAACGTCGGTGGTTCCTGTCAGCGTTGTTGCTCGTGGATGCGCGTTCTGCTCTCACTGGGTGGACCCATGACTTTAGGACGTTATTTGTGTTGAATATTTCAGAAGCTTTCACAAAACTGACATCCCATTTTCCCTCCAAACGTTTTTTGGCTTGTAACTCATTCAATCTTTGTGCCGTTTCAACATTTCATACAAAACCTTTAACTTGTTCAGGACATTCCTGCTGTGACTTGTGGTATTTGTACTATTGTTACTTTTTGAAATAATTAGCTTGTTTGGCCATGTTTTTCTCTTCACATATTTTTAAACCTTCAATGTTTCAGTCTTTGTTCTGGTTCAGCTTTTGTCAGCTGATTTGATCTCCCTTCAGCACCTTTCAGATTCTTTCTGCACATTTTAGCTTTTTTCAGGTTTTTTTTGCTCTTCTCAGCTTCTTGCAACTTCCTTTTGCTATAAATTTGTATTTTTTTAAATTTTCTAACTATACTGTTTAGGTATTTTTCTGCAAATTTTACTTTTTTTTTCAGCATTTGTTTTTGGAAATTTGTACCTTTGTTGGCTTCTTTCTAATACAGTAGTCCCTCGTTTATTGCGGGGAATTTGTACCCTTAACCATGATAAGTGAAAAACCGCAAAGTAGGAATTGAAGTACAAGTAGTAATTAATAGTTTATTTTAGTATATAAGGGTGTTTTAAACTCTTCCCACACTCTTACAATATTCTAAACAATGTTTCTAAACTTTAAATGCTCTAAAAGTGAACAGAATGTCATGATTTCAGCTCCCTGCCCATCTGCTCTTTGCCACCTGCGAGTGTTCTTGGCCACGCCCACGTCTCCGCTCTGCACGGAGAACAGCTGATCAGCTGCAGGAGGAAGTTTATCCTGCAGTATGTCTGAGCTCTAAACTGACAACGCTTTGACATCCAAATGTCAAACTGCACAGCTGGGCACTTCAGGGGTCAAGGAGGATCCTTATTGATGCCAAGGTCACAGCATCAAAGGTCAAGGTCACACATGACCCTTTTGTTAAAACCTCGTCTATCCTCCAGTTAGTCTTAATGCATAAGACAGTATACATGTCCATGGTGTAACTCCACAAATGCTCAGGACAGAAAATGTCCTCAGACTGTGGCTTCATGTTGGATTTTATTTTTATTAAAATCACTTCCACCAAAGAAATCTCCAGTGGTTCTGGTGGCGTCCACTCTATCATAAAATGGTTTGGATCAGCTGGTAGTCATCAACAGGTAAGTCCTTCTCGTTGATAGCTACAGTTTTTTGTTCTTACGTGTTCTTTGATTGGACTGTTTGTAGATTAACACCGTGGACATCATAATCAGCCACATTGACCTTTCACTCCAACACAATCATGTCTATACTTAATAAACATGTAGATTCAGGATTGTTGTGTGAGCCGCTGGCTGGATGGATGGATGGATGGATGGATGGATGGATGGATGGATGAAACATACTTGTTTTTTAATACTGTATATTCAACAAGAGCACCTCCAGCAGTTCATAATATTCAGTCATAGTCAATGTCATAGTCATAATGATCAGTAAATTGTCAGTGATTAAAATCCAAAACATGAATTACAGTCCAGTATGTTTTTTTTACCAATATAGCCACCGTACAGTCCAGTATGTTTTTTACCAA